CCAATATCTCGTCTTACATGTATATGCATTTATATTCAACACACCTGCACCACATTTAAAAAAGAACCCACATATATTTTTTCCTGCCCAAACAATGGCAACTTTGTAATACTTTTAATTAATGTTTGAAAATCTTATTTATAATGCTTCATACATTGTTAGATCCACATTGCTGTTCATACATCATTTAAACGGCTTGACTGAAAAACTGGGAAACCCTGCTGGCTGTTGTGTGACGGCAATTTAACCTATTACACAAACTCATATGTTTATCATGAGGTTGAATCCAGCTATTTAATAGTCAGTTACTTATTGATGCTTTTCTTTCCATCTTGAATAGCATGACGCTTCCATAACATGTTTGTATCCAGCATTGTTCCCATAGCCGTGATTTAAAGCGCTGTTTCTCTGGCATTTTCAAAGGCACGTTAATTATAATCCTGTGGCTTGGATTGACACACAGTCTAATGGTCTAACAAAATCTAATTTTAAACATCTTTTACTATACCAATTTTTATGGCCCTTATATTTCTTATTTGAGCCAAAGGAGATGAATGAAGTTATTTCAGGACGAGACCGCCCTGATTGTAAAGCAAAACGTGATTGGCTATAGCGAGAAAGTGCTACGATTGGTCAGCAAAGTGAGGCTGTTATCTGATTGGCTTGAGTAGACGGTGGGTGGAGTCCACGCATTTGTGGATTGGTGTGTGTCTCAATGCTAGAAATGTTTCAAAATCCACAAATGTACAGCAAGCGATCCACAAATGGGTGCAGCGATCGACAAATGCACGGGACGCGATTCACAAATCTAATTCTATTTATTCATCAATATGTTTAATTTTTGTTAATCTCTTTACATTTATTTTTGGATCATAATCTATTTATTTAGAATAAAGCAACAATTCTACCCCCATAGAGCAACACGGTGCTTCGCTGCTTGAATGAATCTGTTTTTGAATGAATCGAGTGAGCCAGTGATTCAACGGTCCATTCAGATGTACTCACTTGTTTAGTTTCTAATTGAATCAGCCATTTTGAATGAATCTTTTGATTTGAATGATTCAAAAAATAATTTATTAAAACAGGGACTTGCTGCCATCTACTGGCGGTTTTATTGTCACCTTAATTTATCCATGACAGGTATAAACCAGATGCCAACACAAACACATTCAGCAAAATATTGTTTAATTATCAATACTGGCCAAAATTTCAGGCCCCAGAAGGAAAAAAAACATAATAAATAATAGTTTAAGGCAAATTTTTCATTAAATAAAAACCTTTTAACCCGTTTTACATACATTCTAAATCATAGACATCTTAAAAACATGTAATGAACGTCTATTTGATATCTCATAGGAAACGTCCCATAGACGTATTGCAGATGAGCAAACACTTTTAAAAAGACAGTGTAGACTAATGACAAGTTCTCAGAGTATACCAAGATTCAGCAGGAATGCTAGCGGGAAATGGACATTTTTTAAATTTTAGTACCGACTGGTACCAAAGTCAGTACTTTTGACAACACTCTGTCTATGTGCAGATATATTAGAGATTTTGCTGACAGATGCCTGCTTTCAAATGCTCCCGTGTGCTTTTGTGTAAGCGCTCTGTGAAGAGCGTGAATAATTCAACAGCTTTCTCAAAAATTGCATACTGAACCTTTAAATCACCTTACTGCAGTTTTCCATTTAAAGCTCTTTTCACACAGATGACATGCGTAAGGAATTGCTTCAATGTGAATTATCATTTGACTATCAAATCCTTGTTTACACTTGTTGAAACACTTTCCACACTGAGAGAAAGTAAAATGCTCCCCCCCCACTAAAATTTCACTTACCACATAAACAGAGAAAGGATTCAAAAGCCATTTCAATGCCCCGCATTTTAATAACTGCTCCCTGATGCCCGCAATTTATATACAGTAAAATTACTCAATGATTTTAACGGCAAGAGAAAGTATTGAAATATTTTTTTTTTCCTCCCATCTCATATTTATTCCCTTTAGAGGTTCCATAGTACGCGTCATTTCCTTTCCGAACACGGTATTGTGATGCGGCGGATTGTGGGAGATGGGGTGGGGGGAGGAATCACGATGCCAGCTCAACATCATGATGTCTGTCAGCCATCGGCGATGGATGATGGCATCGCCTATCGGCCCAACTCTGTCTCAAGGCTTCTTTTACACGTGAAAGCATTTCCACACTAAGGACAGGTGAAAGACTTTTCTGAATTGTGAATGCGCACATGCACATTAAGTTGTTTTTTTTGTGTGAAACTCTTTCCACACTGAGAGCAGCTGAAAGGCTTTATTCCAGCATGATTTAACATGTGATACTTAAGGGTTTCTTTACGTGTGAAAGTGTTTCCACACTGAGAGCAGGTAAAAGGCTTCATTCCAGCATGATTTAACATGTGATTCTTAAGGGTTTGTTTACGTGTGAAAGTGTTTCCACACTGAGAGCAGGTGAAAGGCTTTACTGATGTGTGAAGCAGCACATGCCAATTGTGTTGTTTTTCCTGTGTAAAACTCTTTCCACACTGAGAGCAGATGAAAGGCTTTATTCCAGCATGATTAAGCATGTGATTCTTAAGGGTTTCTTTACGTGTAAAAGTGTTTCCACACTGAGAGCAGGTGAAACGCTTTGCTGAGGTGTGAATAAGAACATGCTCATTGAGTAGTTTTTTCTGTGTAAAACTCTTTCCACACTGAGAGCAGCTGAAAGACTTTATTCCAGTATGAATTTTCATGTGATTCCAAAGGCTTCCATTATGGCTGAACATGCTTCCACACTGAGAGCAGATGAAAGACTTTTTTCCCGTATGGTTTAGCATGTGATTCTGAAGGCTTCTTTTACGTTTGAAAGTATTTCCACACTCAGAGCAGGTGAAAGGCCTTTTTCCAGTATGAACATTTATCATGTGTTCGTCAAGGTTTCTTTTCTGTTTGAAACTCTTTCCACACTGGGAGCAGATGAAAGGTTTCATTTCAGTATGAATTTTCATGTGATTCCAAAGGCTTCCTCTATGGCTGAAAGTGTTTCCACACTCAGAGCAGGTGAAAGTCTTCACTCTCTTATGAATTCTCATGTGATTCTTGAGGTATTTTTTACGAGTGAATGCGTTTCCACACTGAGAGCAGCTGAAAGGCCTTTTGACCTCTTTTCTTTGAATGTTGCGTTGCGAGCAACTGTTTTCAGTTTTGGAGCAACTAACAAATTTTTCTCCAGTGACGTCATGCGCTTTCTGATCCTGATGCTTCTCCTCCACTTCATTCAAATCTTGTCTTTCCTCTTTCACTTTCATCGGGCCTAAAATGAAAACATTAAAGTGATGAAAATCAGTTGGGACATTTGGAAAACAAAGAACTTAGGGTCAAACACGATTTTTTCTTTCTTTTTTTTTTAAAGTTGGCATTTTCAGGCAAAATTTGCCATTGTTCTGTAAATGAATGACCAAAATTAGGGAGATTTTAACAACATGTTATTAAATATTGGAATACCTAAGATTAATGAATGTTCAGAAGAATTTTTCATTGGCAGATTGTGTTAACTAATGATTTAACTAATGTTAACTAATGAAGCCCTAATGTAAAGTGTGCCCGAACAATAAAGAATCAAAACACTTTCAAACAATATCTAGGACATGTTGTAGTCCATATTAAAATGTAAAAAAAGTTTGAAAATAAATAGCCTATTAAGTCTAAATATTTACGTATTTGGCGCTGTGATGAACATCATAGCAAATACACAAATCTGAATGGCTATTTAAATCATTTAAACATGATTCAGAAACAGGAAGTAGTGCAGCTGCTTTGTTTACAGGGTTTCCGGGGTAACCGGAATTCATTCCGGCATTTAAATGAATTATTATTAGGGGTTCAAGCACGTAGTGCTGAAACCCTATTGTAATTGTTAGGATTTTTATTATTATTATTATTATTCTCTAAAACTGATCGTGCAGCCCAAACCGTAAGGCCTAGAGAGCTGAAACTTGGTCAGATTGTAGTAGTCCAGCTTTCTTGTTAGATCCAAAGACTCACCGCAATCGGCCAATAGGGGGGTGCTACAGCGATCAAAAACGCAAAAGCCCTTATAACTCCTACACCGTAGACTCAAGTGTCTTATATCACTGGATTCCTTGGCTCAATCAAAACAAAATGGCTATCTCCGATTTCATTTCCGTCTATAAAAATTTTCCGCCATTTTGAATTTTGTCAGAAACCTACTTTTGCGAACTAGTCCTAGGATTTTCACCCGATCGGAACCAAACCAGTGCAGAAATGTTTTTTGGACAGTGAATATAAAAAAATTATCAAAAAAAGTTGAAATTTCAACTCACCGTCGCTTAGGGACGCAAAAACGTCTGTTAGGTACGGGGCCATTTTTACTAAAATGGCTATAACTCCTGAACGGAATGAGATATCTTCACCAAACTCGGTACACATGTGTGAAAGCTCAATCTTTGGTTAAATAAAAAAAAAGGCAACCGTCGGTCCGATCGACTTGAAAATTGGTATGCAGTGTCTTTGTCTAAAGGGGCACAAGTGTCTATGAGGACATTCGCATATCTCAAAAAACATGGCCGCCATTGGCCAAAGAAGTTTAGGCACCTATTGGACAAGGTTAACGGAGGTCGATCAGAACAAAACAGACCTTTAGGGCATGTTCGACTCATGGCCCTAAAGGTCTGTAAGAATTTTGAAAGAAAACGGTCACTAGTTGGCGATAACAAACTTTTTTGCCTCTGTAATCCACACAATATGCATATCATTCGAAAGACCTCCTCATAATGCACAACTTTGCCTCAAGAACCATTGCTGTCAGTCAAATCGTTCATTAATTATTCACAAATATGTTCAAAGCCTACTTTTGCGAACTAGTCCTAGGTTTTTCGTCATTCTCAAACCACTGCAGCAATGTTCTCTGGACTCTTTAGATAAAAAAAAAATTTAAAAAATGTTGAATTTTGTCCTTTGGTTATCTTTAACGGGGTAGGAAAGGGGTGTTGTCAAATATACCCATAAGCCTATAAAACCTAAACGAAAACTCAAAACTTTACGAAACTTGGTGAAACCATGTGTTTCATAGAGATTGGACCATAGGTGGCCCTATAACAGTTGAAAAGGCCTCAAAAATACAATATTTGTATAGAAAATGACCTGAAATTGTAGAACATGTCCATATATTCACACAAACACTAGATCTTCATATCATATGATAGATCTCCTCATTCTGAACAACTTTGCCTCTGGGACTAATGCTGTCATTCAAATCGTTCATTAAATATGCACAAATATGGTAAAAACCTACTTTTGCGAACTAGTCCTAGGTTTTTCACTCAATCTCGATCAAACCACTGCAGCGCAATTCTCCGGACTCTCTAGATCATTAATTATCAAAAATGTTTTGAATTTTGTCCTTTGGTTAACTATGACAGGTTCATTTATAAAAGGGGCGTGGCCAAAATACCCAAAAGCCTATCAAACCTAAAGAAAAACTCAAAACTTCATGACACTCGGTGAGCATATGTGACAGATGACTCTAAACAAGGATGCAACATTTTATGTAAATTTGACCATTGTTGGCGCTATAACAGTCATAACTGTTAAAAATATTATTTCTTTGGTAAATTACCTGCATTTACCAAAAATGCTATTTTAATCATTGATTTAAGTGGCTACAGCCATGTTAACAATGTCTTTAACCTTATGTGCTTAAATGCCTAAAGTGCTTGAACCCCGGTAATCGCTGCTTGCAGCTATATTTATTAAAAAATATTCTTCTGCAGTTTAGCGCCATCTGCTGTCAGAGAGTGAAAGTGCGCTTTCATCCAGAGCGTCTCTCACATGTTCCGCCATGTGCTTCTTGTCCACGCTTGTTTACGTCAGAGTGCGCACGCGTCTTTCACGCAGCATACAGCGGTGTTGTGCATTTTGACCAGTTGATGGGAAAAGTATTCTTAAAATGCATTCAAAATTCGGAATAATTTGTAATATATAATTATTCACGGTATTTAGAAGTGCCCACGATAACAATATCGTGCATATTCATTACCGTGCTATATCGCATTACCGAATACCGGCAACAAGTCTAGCCAAAATGCATTAAAAGCTTTTTTTTAATTGTCTTGTAGGGCTGCCCCCTAATAGTCGACTAATCGTTAGTCAACCAGAAGAAGCTTGGTTAACCAAAATTTTATTAGTCGCAGAAAGAAAAAAAAATTCCACAGGCGAAGTCATGCAGTCTGTGACTAACAGATCATTAATGGCTACTCTATGGTAATAAAGTACATCAGGCAGGACATCCAAACGCTTGTGCCAAATATGGCTTATCTTAAATATGTAATAGGGCTGCATGATAAATCGCATGAAAAAAACGAAACCCATAGGTGTTTTTATAGGTTTAAAGGGGAGCGCGACCAAAGAATGTTGTCAATTATTACATGCTTACAAGGTTAGAAGTTTAACAAATCAGTCAACATACTGTGATTGTAGTTGTTAAATAAAAATGTAATTCATATAAATTCATGCATCACCTAATTTCATCGTAACATATAGGCCTGGCCTACAGAAAAGAACATTTATGTTTAATCTATCTAATAGTGTGTTGGTCATACTATACAATGATTTATTTCTTTGTTGAATAATACAGAACATGAAGAGCTTTAAAAAATAATTGCATATTAAATCGCAATCGCAATATTGGTAAAAAAAAAAAATTTAATTTTGCAATTAGATTATTTTCCAAAATCGTTTAGCCCTACTTTCTTCTTTCAGATTAATCCAATTGGAGTTATATTAACAATTGTCCTGGCCCCTTCAAGCGTTACAATGGGAGTAAGCGGGTGCTTTTTGTCAACGGTCCAGAAGACGTGAAATAAAGTGCGTGAATCCGTAATAAAACGTGCCTCACACAGCTCCGGGGGGGGGTGAATAAAGGCCTCCTGTAGCGAATCCATGCATTTTGTAAGAAAAATACCCATTTCAAACACTTTTCTCACTTTTGCTGACTGTTGTACGCGGAAGCTGTTCCTGCGGATGACGTAGGATGTTGGCGTTGTGTGATTAGTGACGAATGCAGAGAGAGAACAAAACAAAACGAATTAGAAGCACAAAACAAGGATTTGTAAAGAAAAATGTCGGAGGATTCCGATATAAGCCAAGAGGAGACTGGTTTTCCTTTGCTAAAGTAAGGAAACTTTGCTTCCTTTGCTCCTGTAAACAAACTCTCGAGTAGGGCTGGACAATAATTCAATATCAATATGCAATAGTTTTTTTTCAATAACGGTGATATGATTTTTAAACACATTTCCGATATTTCGATATAGCCTACATTACCAGTGTTTCCCATACATTGATTTATTTGTGGCTTTGACTTCATTGAATAAACATGAGCACTGCACGTTTCAAAAATCAAAACACGTCGTGGGTGTTTTATATGAATGCATCTCTGAAGGGAAAGGACTGTCTTCAGAAAAGTTTCAATGGCATTTTCACTTTATCTGATAAAGAAGCATTCATGAGCAGAGCTGATTTGATTAAAGCCATTACTAGAGAAACCGCTAGTTCTACTGCTCTCAAAGCGCCTCCTGCTGGCGGAGAATCAGTTTGCATTTTCAATAAGCCAGTCTCCAGCAACATGTTTGTTGTTTCTCTCTTTTTTTTTTGCAGCAACTCTGAGCACTTTTCATACTCTTTATACTGGCTAAAGCACATTTGTTGCAATCTATAAGAATAATCAGCTTACACTATCAGTCAAAAGTTTTTGAACCGTAAGAAAAAAAAAATAAAAGAAAAAAAAATAAAAAATAAATATATATATATATATATATATATATACACACGTATGTATATATATATTTTTTTTCTTCTTTTTTCAAGAATTCTCTTCTGCTCACTATTATTTTTTTACTTCAAACCATAGGCTAACATACCAGTCAAAAGTTTTTGAACAGTAAGATTGTTAATGTTTTTTAAAGAATTCTCTTCTGCTCACCAAGCCTGCATTTATTTGATCCAATATACAGCAAAAACGGTACAATTTTGAAATATTTTTACTACTAAAAATAACTGCTTTCTATTTGAATATATTTTAAAATGTTATTTTCTGAGCACTTTTCATACTCTTTATACTGGCTAAAGCACATTTGTTGCAATCTATAAGAATAATCAGCTTACACTATCAGTCAAAAGTTTTTGAACCGTAAGAAAAAAAAAATAAAAGACTTCAGTGTAACATGATCCTTCAGCAATCATTTTAATATGCTGATTTGCTGATTCTCAATATTTAAAACAGTTGAGTACATTTCA